GTCGGAGCAGGGATTATTTGTATGTTATGGAATCATTTCCTTGAAACAAGTATCATGCACATAAATGTTGTGTGTGTGTGTGTGTGTGTGTGTGTGTGTGTGTGTGTGTGTGTGTGTGTGTGTGTGTGTGTGTGTGTGACTTGACTGCTCTTTTAGTTCATGGCCTGCGGAATAAATGTAATTAAGGCGGCCAAATGATACGTATATTTGAAACGCTGGTCATATTGACCTCGGATGACTCGTTGATTTCCTAACATGCATACATTTGGCAAACACTGTCCCTTCGTGTAGTGTTACGAGCACCAACGCTGATTGTGATTCATAAACACATGCTCATGATGAAGCCGGGATCGTACAATGGACTATTCACGTTTCTTATGACTGTTGAAAGGTTTCGTCGCTTCTATTTACCCCTCTCATCAACAATGTCGGTATGACCTTCATTGTGAATATCTGAATCAACACAGCCTGCATTACACCTACTCTGTCCTGACGAATGTTTTGTTTTTGGAGTTGAGTGAAAAATATTTGTGGCGGTAGTGTTCAATCATGATATAAATCAATCCCTTGTGAAAATAATTGATTGCTCAACTAGTTGTAGGGACGTACATATTAGCATACAAAGGCGTTTCAATATTATTTTGGGCACTGAGAATGGAATAACAATATTATCAATTGATTGATCAATACTTTTGTGTTTTAAAATTCAACCCCAAAGATTTTTTTTACAAAAGAAATGCAGATAGGCAATTTACTGTTCTAGTAACGGTTCGTGTTTGACATGAAACCGGCGTTCACCAACCACTTGAGCCTTGTGCCTATAGTAAGCATATATACTTCGTCAAATAAACCTTTTTGAAATCAATACGTAGATCAGTCAGTTACCAATGTCGCAAATCTTTAAATATAATTATATTTAGATAAACACTCGTAAAAGCTCTGCACGTCATTTCCGATTTCCACGATGACGGTATAATTAGTATGCACGCTGGTTTGTCGCAAATGCAGTTAATGTTCTATAAGATAGCTATTTCTAAAATCTTTATTATTTAATCAAACTGTCCAAACAAAAAGGGAAGGGATTTTACGTGCATATTATTGCGCTAGACGCACTTGTTGACAACCGCGCCGATTCCACACCTTACTATACAGGTATATAAGTAAAGTATTCACCATGTTAAAACAGTTTCGCATAGAAGTAAAATTAATGTAGTATCTCACTTTTCAAAGTAATTCAACCACACGTGGAGATAAATTTAACTTAGATAAAAAGTACTTCATATGTTAATGAACTATTTATTCGCAAATCGATAAAAACGTATTTACATATTTCCCTAAATTTAGATGCGTCTGAATTGCGGAGAGAAGGCTGCAGAGGTCTACAATCTCATATAAGGAAACTGGTCCCGTTAAACTAGTCTCCTCTCTAAATTGTTTCGGAATTTTTATCTTCAAAGTTGCCAACACTTTTAAAATGGCTCAGCTCCGTCCCTGTCCAGTTAGTCACTTATTGTCAGTGAAGTATACTATTGTTTTGATAATGATAACAATTGTCCCAGTAGTTTCTCCAGATTTACGATGATTAATTCTGACTCGATCGCCGATTGACAAGGGCGACGCCATGCTTGTTTGCAATCTCCTACCCAGACTTCCATGCTAACATATGATTTGCCCCCAAACGAGTTTTTATGCTATTCCATTTAGTTAACATTTGACATATTTATTATGTATACCACCATGATTATGTCAACTTAATACCTCTAGTTCCTTGAAAACAATAGGGGCGGTCGGGTAGCCTAGTGGTTAAAGCGTAAGCTCGTCACGCCGAAGACCCGGGTTCGATTCCCGACATAGGTACAATGTGTGTTACCTATTTCTGGTGTCCCCCGCCATGATATTGCTGGAATATTGCTAAAAGCGGCGTAGCACCATACTCACTCACTCAGTGTTCGTGTAAACACCTTCACAGTGTTTGTGTAAGCACCTTCACAGTGTTCGTGTAAGCACCTTCACAGTGTTCGTGTGAGCACCTTCACAGTGTTCGTGTAAGCACCTTCACAGTGTTCGTGTAAGCACCTTCACAGTGTTTGTGTAAGCACCTTCACAGTGTTCGTGTAAACACCTTCACAGTGTTTGTGTTAGCACCTTCACAGTGTTTGTGTAAGCACCTTCACAGTGTTTGTGTGAGCACCTTCACAGTGTTTGTGTAAGCACCTTCACAGTGTTTGTAGAGTTTATTGCATACTCCTCCTGTCGTATTTTTCAAATACGTTTTTGAAACATTTCTTGAACCACATTTGTATTTATGACCTTATTCTGGCTTCAGATAACACTTACTATAAGTTGTGTCACAGTTAAATGGCTCACATATACAACTGAGTCATTTCATACCTTATACATATGCATTATAGAGTATTATGCTAGTAGGAATGTCCCTGTCAATAGTTGAGTAGCATATACCCCTGACTGAATCTTTAAGCACGTGTATGTGTAACGTCTTCAGGGTTATTTTGTTACACTCTTCAAAAAAAGAAACGCACAGGTGGATTTTTATGAAGTTATGAAGTCGATATATTTAATTTAATATCATAGATACAAATATGAAGTTTTGGAGCTCGATAGCCACATGTTGTCGTTGTATAAAGGCATTTAAAACTGTTCATTGTCATGTCACATTAGGCCACAAGGTTGCGCTGAACTCAGTATCTCGTGTGACCGCCCCGGGCAGCAATCACGGCTCTGCATCTCCTCGGTACTGACTGGATAAGTGTACGAATTCTGTCCTGCGGAATTCTGCGCCATTCTGCTTGTAACGCGTTGGCCAGTTGTGGGAGTGTCTGCGGCGTGTTGACGTACGTTGACGTACACGTCGATCGAGTTCATCCCAGAGGTGTTCGATTGCGTTGAGATCTGGAGATCTCGACGGCCAGGGCAAGACGGTGATGTTGACATTATGGGGGTAGTCTACCGTACTGTTGAAACAGCTACCCCTGGTGGTCAATGATTGGAAGAAGGTGAGGTTGGGGAATTTGATTCATGTAGCGATTTTGCTTTCAAATTTCCCTGAACCACAACCAAGTCAGATCTCGTAGTGATCTCGGTTCTCGGCCGGTCTGCAGTGAACTTGAACTGTGTGTATCGGTCACAAAGTCGGCAAAGGGTGCTGTGGTGGACGTTGAAGTGGCGTGCAACAGAAGACTGCGATTTCCCTCTTTGGATACGTCCTATGGCGATGTTCCGATCGGCAACGCTGAGTCTCGGCATTTTCGAACTTGAAAATTGTTGACAATTGAATGACCAAGTATTGCCTTATGCTTGCCTTTTTATATCCACTACCACGAGTTACGAATGCCATAACTCGCACGTGCATTTTGCTTTACTGTTTTCCCCCATGACAATTTTGAACAAGTGTGAAAACAATGCCATTTAAGACATTGCAAATCGACAATGGCTGCGTTGTGACGCACCGTTTGTCGAATATCAGGCCACCAGCATTTTCCGATAACATACATCCAATTTATATACCGGATGTTTTGTGTAGTCAGGTTCAATGAACTACATACTACCTGTGCGTTTCTTTTTTTTTTGGAGAGTGAACTTATTGGATGAACGGATCACCATTATTGCATTCGTAATCCTTCTTGGTTTACAACAATTCACCCCCGTGAAGATCCAAGTTAGAATTGGTCTCCTGCAACAAATGCTTGTCTTCCCCCGTAAAAACCGGGGTAGATTTGGTCTTCAGTAATCCATGCTTGTCATAAGAATCGACCAATCTAATCAAAATCAGATCTTAGTTTTCGCTATCGCTAAACAAAGATCTGGGGACATCCCATTACGGGTCACGTCAGAACGACCTTTCATCCGACCAATCAGAGCGTCGCTTACCAGATCATGAAAGCGACAGTCGGAATGTGTTTTCAAATCATGCAACCTCGAAAACGTTAACACGGTGTATTCCGAACGACAGTTACGGCCCGTACGACTTATTCCGCCAAAATTATCGTCTATCGCTCTCTTCCGTGGGATAAACATTTCAACATGGGAGGCGTTGCACAGTACGAGGGAAGCACTGCCATACATTCGCAACTATATATTAAACATTCCGGAATTGTCAATTGTTCAGTTTTCAAAATATTAATCGAGAACTGTGTCAACATGTTTTTTAAGCGTACTCTGAAATGGAAGTCGCCAGGTTGAAATAAGTGCCGTAAGCTGGAGAACGTTGCTTTCTAATTGGCTGATGTCGACTTCTTGTTAGTCATTTCAGTGGTCGGTCAAAGTTCGAAAGGTCGTTCTGACGTGACTCGTAATGGGATGTCCTCAGATCTTTGTTAAGTGGCAGCGAGAACTTAAATATGATTTTAATGAGATCCATCTTCCTGAGACAAGGGCGTTAACTGAATATAAAAGTCCAGTTTCAACGTATGTACACCTTCTTTACGTACATCACCATGTCATATTACATGTTAATTCTGGTATCAAGAAGGACTTTATTTCCGTTCCGCGTACCACATTGCGGAGTCCCGAATACCCTCCCGCATATTTGACGAGCAAAATAGAAAATGTCTTGTGGTTGGAGACATGAAGTAAATAAAAATGATATAACCTTTTTGGTTTTGTGTGTATATTGTTGAAGAAAACGTCTTTTAACAATTCACACATTTGAAGATCGGGGTTAGAAATGGTCTTCAGGAATTGTCTGGTCCGGACTCGATTATTTACAGACCGCCGTCATATAGCTGGAATATTGCTAAGGGCGGCGTTAAACAACATACCAACCAACCAAATCAGGAACCCATGCTTGTCGTAAGAGGCGACAAACGCGATCAGAATTTTCTGACTTTGTTGATGCATGTCATCACTTGAATGTCTGGTCAATACTTGATTGTTTACAGACCGCCGTCATATAGCTGGAATATTTTGCGGAGTGCTGTTTTTAACAAACGAATAACAATGCAACTTCACAATAAAGACGAAATATGCAATATTGTTTTCAGAGGGATTGTTTCGAGTTTCGTCACTTCACGTCTGGCATCATGTACACGACCGAGCTCCGTCTCATACTCTTCGAGGGCGCTGTGACACATCTCTTTAATATCATTGTCAATGGCCGACGTCTAGTATTTGAGGGCTTTCAATCTAAACATCATACTGATATCTTTCCTGGACTAGTCGGAACAGTGGATGGAGCTTTTCAAGGGCCCCTCGATTACACCTACATTATACAAGGTAAGTTCGAATTACAAAGGGGGACGCCGTGGTGTGTGTGTGTGTGTGTGTGTGTGTGTGTGTGTGTGTGTGTGTGTGTGTGTTGTGTTGTGTTGTGTTGTGTTGTGTTGTGTTGTGTTGTGTTGACTGGGGGATCTATATCTGAAAAACGAATTGTATTTTGTCCCCCACCTACCGACCAGAATATCCAAGGATCTTTAATCAAAGATACTAAAAAAGATGTCTGACCTAATTAGACCCAAAGTACGCTCTGTTTCTTTGACACCGAAATACCCTGCTCCTGGTTACCTGGGCAACACGTAAACATTCCCGTTCCTTATTGCGCTCATCTCTGTAGGTGATGATATACAGGTGTTCCGGCACCGTGAAAATCTGAAGGTCACATCGCCATGCAACTGTGACACTGTCCCAAAGAGTGGTGCAGCTGAGTGCGTTTATACATAACACACATGGTCGTCCTTAAGTAATTGGTTTGAGGAGCTTGGTTCGGCTCAGTTTGTGGTCGTCAAGTCTAAAGACTGGTGTCTGTGGTTACATGCGGAAGGAATTGGGATGAAATGGGGTTCAACGTAGCGTCCAAGACTATAGGGCTTACATAGTGATGTGCAAGCACGTGCGTGCGTGCGTGCGTGCGTGCGTGCGTGCGTGTGTGTGTGTGTGTGTGTGTGTGTGTGTGTGCGTGCTAGTACTAGTCCGGACTAATGCCTATTTCTAGTGCTAGCACACTGAGATACCATGTCGCAGTTTACCAAGAATAGCCCACTCAGACACAGTATACTGATTCAGAGCCGACCAGTCCTTGTTTTAGCCCCTTTATACCGAGCGCCAGACAGGGCAAGAACACAGTACCATCTTTTAACGTCTTTTGGTATGACGCGGCCGGCAATCGAACCCCGGACCTTCCGCTTTCCTGGCGGAGGCTCTACCACTAGACCACGGAGGCGGTCTGATGTTTTTCAGAATACGTTTGGTCACATGTATGGAGAGTTAATGTACTATTTCCGACGTAGGTCACATGTATGGAGAGTTAATGTACTATTTCCGACGTAGGTCACATGTATTGGAGAGAGTTAATGTACTATTTCCGACGTAGGTCACATGTATGGCGAAAGTTAATGTACTATTTCCGACGTAGGAAATCAAGTGATCTGCATGTCCAATGGACACAAGGGGTGACCAGCCCAGTGGTGTGAATACAAGCCACGAATTCCTTTTCATAAACCATAACAAATTTCTGCAGACTCCATAGGACGATTCCGACTACTTCATAATTATGTGTTTATGGATGTTGTGATGTTGGCGAAAGTCGAGCGTGTCCTGCCCATCGGGGCTCCCGTAACAAGCACACGTGTTCACCTGAAAATAAATTAAAAAGTCTACAAAGGGAATTGCGTGGGACATCCTTTTTGTCACTGATGCATCAAATTTGGAAATGTCCTTCACAAGTGAAGTCTCCCATAAAACTTTTGTGAAAGCTTTTCTTCTTACTTTTGTGGAAGAGTTGTGTGGTTCTCTTTGGCATCTTTGAAGCAAGGGAATTCTCAATTGTACATCGAAAGTTGTGAAATGTATTCACCACAAGCTGGAGCTTCTGGAATAATGCGTGGTATCCCTCCCAATGCCTGGATGCCTGGATGCCTGGATGCCTAGATAGGTGGGTGGGTGGGTGATATGAGTGGGATCCACCGTTTTGGTCTTTCATCGAGTAACACACCAATAGATCATATAATATCTACATGAACCTTTTCGCGTAAGTGGAGTCCATTATATTTACCTATGGTGTGCTGTGCTGTAGTGGCGAGCCACGATAAAAAGAGCGAGTGAGTAAGGTTGTACGCCGGGTATTTTTCAATATTCCTGTAATATCACGGCGGGCGACACCTGAAATGGGCTTCTGTGTCCACTTGGAGAATCGAACCCGGGCATTCGGTGTGAAGAGCAAACGCTTTAAGCACCAGGTCACCCAACCGATAAATGATAAGACGTCACGCGCCGTGCTATGACAGAACGTGACGTGTAGTGACGAGACACTTCAGAACGGGGCGTGAAGTGACGAAACGTGACAGAACCTAACGCGACAAAACGTGACAATAATCCGATGAAAGTGTGTGACATGTAGTGACTTGACGTGACGACACAAGCCGTAGTATTAACGTTATAACTTAGAATCAGGATATACCACGAGAAGTCGCTAAACCACATCAACATATACACACAATGCTATTTCAGAAAGTGGTCAAATGTAACAAATGTTAGAATTGGGATTAAACGTTCTTAGTAAGTACAGATTCTAGTAATCTTTTGGGTTGAGTCCCACCCGGGATTCGAACCCACACTGCCAGAGTGAGGCACCTAATCGCCAGCACACAAAGTCTGCGAATTATCCCACTCGGCCACCGAGGCTTCACAAACAACATACAGTAAACTACGGTTATAACGAACTCAAAGGGCCCACTAACTTTAGTTTGTTATAACCGTAGTTCGTTATAAGCATATATACAACATAACTATAGCAAATAGTCGGGACAAAAAATCGGTTCGTTATTTCCGTCAGTTCGTTATAAGCGTGTTCGTTATAAACGTACTTTACTGTATTCATATTTGTCTACTTTCTCGGTGTATTGTACTATGTTTAACTCCCGTCTGTTCTTCCAGGAGATCAAGTCAAATGCTTCTCTTCGCTTTATCCAAACATCACCAAATTCGAGGCCTGTCCCTCGGGCGTGCCACCTCAGAACATCCTGGCCCCCTATTTCTTCAATAACACGCATTTGGACGCCATCGTCGCGCTGGACAACACCACTGACAACGTCCACATCATCAGTGACAACACCGTCTACGAAATGAATTGGTCTGGTAGCGAATACACGGTGACCGGAAGTTACCCAATCACCGACACCGGATCCGGAAACATCTGGGCAAAGGCACCTGAGAATGTCACTGCGTTGTTACGTATGAGTTGGCCGGATGAGTACCTCTTTATTGAAGACTATAAATTTGTCACTTACTCTGCTGTTTCCAAAAGCCCCACTGGTATTTTTTTCTTCTGTAAATAGCTTTCCATGAAAGATGGTTAAGCCCCGTTTGGTGTAATGATGTTTGAGGGTTCTGGAATTACCAAGTTGTCTAAGGAGCGGCTTGCCACCATGAAGAGTATCATCCCTTAGATACTTGGACCCGCTGGTTACTGGTTCGAAATCAATATTCGTCCTTGATATTATCTTTTATCCGTCAGAACCGTATCAGTGCTCGTAGATGCCACAAGAGGGATGCACGCCAAACCTGCCTCAAGATGAACTTATCACACATGTTGAACTGACACTCCTTTTAAAGCAGCAATAATTCAAACTTTCTCACAACATATGTAGTGATGTGTTTGATATGTTGAAATAAACACGAATAATGTTCAAATCCGGATTTGGTCGTGCTTTAAAATGAGCAGTGAGTGAGATAAAATGTCACATTGCACAGGCAACAGTTCAACGATATAGCGAAGCGTGTTAATTAACAGATACACACAGATTTGATGGAGAATTGACCTATATTGAAACCCTAGATAAAAAAATTACACGCAGTTTACGCCCAATTTCTAGAGGTCCACCAACCAGTAGAACACACAAAAGGTCATTGAAGCAGAATTTTGTCAAAGATATTGCTGCATACAACATTTCACTCAGAAAGTAGGAGCCAGTTACATGTTTTTTTAATTACAAACCTTTTTTACAGAACACCCAGTAAAGACTTTTTCCAGCATTTAATGACAACATATATTATATCTGCGATTACACTTTCTCAGTAAAGTACAAATTCTAGTACTTTTATAGGTTGGGTCCGAACTGGGATTCGAACGCACACTTCTCACACAAAAGTCAGTGACCTAACCCAACTAATCCACATCTGGTAGTTTAGATCACCCACTTGTGTACCCCAATGGTAGTGTAAGTTCTCTGCTAGCATTTAATTTAATAAACATATTGTTTTTGTTAAAAGAATCCACCCCCTAATGCACACTAAAAAGGGGGTTGCAATATGTGACCCAACTTACTGTGTGCATACGCGGATCCTTCAGGAACAATTGGGACTGCACAAAGTAAGAACGACTTCATCAATTTATGCTGATGGATGACTCTCCAAACAGTAAGAGCCACAGTATGGACGAGAGGGTATGGTTCTCGATGTTGATTTGAAACGTTTGGCCAAGCCAGAAACAGACCGCAACAAAGCCGTAAAACACCGAATGTTCCTGATTTTCCAATTTGCAAACAAGGGAATTGATGATTTGAATGTCAGTAACATCCTCAGACAAAAATCAAGTTTCCCTAAATGTCTCACAATATTTCAAATTTCAGGTGCCACCCAAAAAGTTTCATTCTCTTACGCGAACTCCAGTGACATCACTACTTGGTGGCTGCCAAGCGAGGTGATGGTTAGTTCTTTGATTATTATTTGTATATGCTCTCTAATGTGTTTTATACCAAACATGACCCGTGATGATCCAGGGTAGAATAGGTCTTCAGCAACCCATGCTTGCCGTAAAAGACTAACGGGATCGGGTAGTCAGGCTCACTGAATGTCATCGTTTCCCAATTGCGGTAATCGATGCTCATGATGTCAATCACTGGATTGTCTAGTCCAGATTCGATTATTTACAGACCGCCGTCATATAGCTGGAATATTGATGAGTGCGGCTTTAAAAAAACACACACACACCCAAAAAAACAAAAACAAAAACAACAACAACAAAAACAAAAACAGAACAAATGTTCCAAAAACATCGAACATAGCCGGGTTAAGGTCTTGAAGAATATTTCACTAGTATCACACGAGCCTATATTGAAGCCTGTGTCACCATGACGAAGCTGAATATCGCCTGATCCTAAACAGTGCCATGATTGAGGTCTGGAGATCCGATATCAATGAACATGTATAGATTGTGTTTAGGTGATGTTCAGGCAGAGATAGGGGCGGTCGGGTAGCCTAGTGGTTAAAGCGTTCGCTCGTCACGCCGAAGACCCGGGTTCGATTCCCGACATGGGTACAATGTGTGAAGCCCATTTCTGGTGTCCCCGCCGTGATATTGCTGGAATATTGCTAAAAACGGCGTCAAACCATACTCACACACTCACTCAGGCTGAGATAGCTCATTTCATGTGTTTAAACCATAAATGTGTTTAGATAGAACACACCAAATCCGTTTTGGATTTAAATACATCCCTATACATGTTTAGATCTCTTTTATGTGTTTCAAATCCAAACACATTTTTACAGTTTTCATGTATGATTCTAGGTTTGTCAGTAACCTATCAGACCTGCATCACTTCGGGCTATCCCCCGCATCAAGCTGATACACCGTGGTGTAACTGTGATACTGAGGCGTTAAGCTATCCTCACTCGCGTATTTACATAGCACTTTAAACCCTTGTTAACACTTATGCCTCCTTTATGTTTCAATAACATACGCCCATTCATGATTTATCAACATGTCCCATGTTTATTTCAGCTAATCTCTATAGACAATTCATCGCGCATTGGGCTCTCTGTTTGTCCACTGTTACAAGATGACATGACCAATCTGCCAACTTGTGATAGGCAGATTCTATCTTCTTTGATAGGCATTCAGCAATAAATCAGTTTGAATTAAAACATATTCCCTGACCAACAGTCTTCTTCTGTTAGTGTACAGACGTTCCTTGGCCCGCAAAAGCGTCAGTATTTAAGCCACGAGCGTACTTCAGGATAAATATCACAATCCAAGTACGGTTTCATACAGTTAAGTCTCCTTTTAAAGTGTTAATCTTCCGAAACAGTCTTATCCCACTTGGTAAATTATGCAAATATAGTATGAATGAGTCCATTTTGAAAACTCGAAAAAATGATTCAATGAAGCAATATAAACTGCAGCAGTATCACCCGGGGTACATGTGATTTTATGCGTCCCGCGCTAGGTTTCATACCACGAGCCAGGGACGCATAAATCCCATGTACCCCGACTGATACTGCTACAACGAATTTATCTTACCGATATGTTTTAATATGACATTGTAAAAGACTTAAAACAAATGCAATATTGATAGAACACAGCTGTTCGATTGATCTGAGGTTAACGTGTGCTATGTCACGTGACTTTCATTGGCTCGGAAAAAGAGTGCGACTTTTTGCTTCGAAGCGGGGTATAAAGGATTTACATTTCCTCTCAGAAATCCACGTGCAACCGGTCTTGTTCGTGGCGGGATATAATGGATTTATTCTCCCGCTGAGAAATTCATTTATAGTTTCTGGATTGTGGATCTTGTTATTGACACACCCATTTTAATTGAGTGCAAATGGTTATACGAAGTATCAAATCTCCCTTCTATCGAGTTGTGTCATACATAGATGTTGTCGGGTACCCTGGGATATCCTGCCCACAGTGCCACGCAGTGTTACATCCATTCTGACCTATCGACTGACTAAACATGGCAGCCAAGAGTTCCAAATAACGTTAGCATTGAATGTGTTTACTTTCATAATTCTTTAGACGTTGCCACTAACTACATCACAACCAAACCATTCCCTAACACACTGGTGTCATCGGCCGGTACTTGATTGTAAGCAGTACATTTAGTGCATAGCAATCGATAAAAGCAAGACGGTCCGTTATCACATGATTGTCACAAATGTCAATTATTGTCGCCGTACCACAGGATAAATATCGCTGAATATTTTTAACAATTGTATAGTTTAAACAACGTTACCGCCCTTCAATGCATGTTACGAGGAAAAGAGATGAAATATGTTTAGAACTTCAACATGTTTAAATGAAGTGGATATCAGTCGGCATAAGTCAAATTTGAATAAGATGTATAATATACTAGGAAATTGAAATTAGAATTGCACATCAGTTTCACAGGCACTGCATAACACATATACCACCAGGGCTGACAACGAACTTAAAAATGTACGAATACACCAAGCTAGGTTAATGGTGACTTTGAAAATTGACATCCGTGACAACAGTCTCCGTAGCACAGGTGGTAGCGTGAAGGACTACCTACCAAGACTGACTGTAAGATTGTTTGTTTTTATGTGAAGTATAATTGGTAGTATGTTGAATCATTCCTTGGTTGTTGTTTTTTTCTTTTTGTGTGTATTGTGTTTGTTAATTGCCTCGTGAAACCTCCTGAAGCAAAACAAATTGCCACTCAAATACCCTTGGGAAATAAAATATAATTAAATTATAAAAAATGCCCCTTAGCTATATCAAATATACATAGCGCTCATTGTTCATGGTTTAATTGAGACATATTTTATTTCAAAATTATTGAATTGGGTATCAGTCATATGAAACATCTGAACCCTATTCCCCTCACAAGTTATTAGAAAATGAATAAAAAGCTAGGTGCACAGGTTATAATAAATACAATATAAAGTGTATTTATGACTAATTAATATAATTCTTTCAATGGAAATCTAAAATAACTTGGTTACCCTTATACCTGAATATTCTACAAAGGACTCATGCTATAATGTTTGTTTCAATTAAATATCTAAGTACCATTATTGTTTATCTTATTGTGCATTAATTCTACGGCCGTGTAGCGGCGGTCGGGTAGCCTAGTGGTTAAAGCGTTAGCTCGTCACGCCGAAGACCCGGGTTCGATTCCCGACATGGGTACAATGTGTGAAGCCCATTTCTGGTGTCCCTCGCCGTGACATTGCTGGAATATTGCTAAAAGCGGCGTAAAACCATACTCACTCACTCACTCACTACTCGCGTGTATTGTAAAAAAGGATATTCAAATAAGCAGTGTGATGAATTTCCATGATGTTCTCCAATGGCAGCACCATTATGTTTAACATGAAATAATGTGTAGATCATAGTTTATAAAACAACAATTGTGATGCAGTCATGTTTGGGTGTAGTTTTCTCAAATGCTGAAATATTTTGTTTTATTTCGTGTGATAATGATTTACCGAAGGATGACGGATTTTGAAATTCTCCCATCGATTCCGGAGTAGTTCGCCACGAACGTGGGTGTTGTGAACGAGAGAAGACGTGACAGGCAGGAGTACTGCTGTGCGGTGTTAGTCAACAAACAAACACTTACTTTTCTATCAAATTATGTGAGTGGCGGATGCTACCGGCAGGACAAGGGGCACGGGTGGCCCAGTCGTCTAAGGCGCCGCGATTCACTGTGCAGAGTTGCGTCCCTTGGGCAAGCCAGAAACCTATGACTGTGGGTTCGAATCCCGATTCGCCCCGATTATGTTTCTAGGTTTGTCAGCACCCTACCCGTGCTCGTGGGGTTCATCGAAGTGGTAAACGTCTGAGACCTGCATCACTTCCGGCTTTCCTCCCACATTAAGCTGACACGCCGTGGTATAACTGGAATACTGTTAAAAGCGGCGTTAAACCCAAC